AATAAAAAAGAAAAGAAAAGAAGAAAAGAAAAGAATATGGATAGAATAGAAAATGAATAGAATAGAATAGAATTGAATAGAATAGAAAATAGAATAGAATAAGAATAGAATAGAATAGAATAGAATAGAAAATGAATAGAATAGAATTTAGAATAGAATTTAGAATAGAATAGAATAGAATAGAATTTAGAATAGAATTTAGAATAGAATAGAATAGAATAGAATAGAATAGAATAGAATTTAGAATAGAATAGAATAGAATAGAATAGAATAGAACAGCTGCGTCTCCTAAAATGAGGTGCCCCGATGAGGTGATTTCCAGCAAGATTGATTTCCCAGAAGTTGGCTCTCCTCTAGCCAGATGGATCCCTGGACATTTTCCTTGCGTTTCTTTTCCAAGTCAGGACGGGGTCCCTGTTCCCTCTCCAAAAGGTTGCAGCCGAGAGCCTTTGGTTCTGAATTAGCATCTAGCAAGATTCTGGTTTCCCAGTAGAAAAAAAACAGAACAAAGTGGTAGAGAGATGAGAGAGAATAGAATAGAAGGGACCTTGGCGTTCTTCTAGTCCAACTGGGAAGACTGACAAGGCTCCTAACCAGCGGTGGGATTCAATTTTGTTTTACTACCGGTTCTGTGGGCGTGGCTTGGTGGGCATGGCAGGGGAAGAAGGATACTGCAAAATCCCCCTTCCCTCCCCACCCCACTAACCTGCTTTCCAGCCCCGTTCTCCTGTGCACGGCAACCAGAGGAGACCCAGCTGGGACTCGATGGGAGGCAGAGAAGAGATGGGGGAGGGGCCAGTCAGAGGCTGCATTTGCCAGTTCTGCGGAACTACTCCAAATTTCCGCTCTCGGTCCTGCAGAACTGGTCCGAACCGGCTGAATATCCGCCTCTTGCTCCTAATCCCCCCCCCCACAAGCAAGGCAGGCAAGGAAATCCCGACCCCGGGAACACTTTCAGTCTCTGTCCTTGTTTCCTCCTCAGGGCCCTCCCAGCCGGCGGGCGGGGAGCTCAGGGCCTGGTCGCGAGAGGTCCCACCCTCCTGGGAAGACGGGGAAGAAGCTCTCCGGTTCGCTGGCCTCCCACTCTCGCAGCAGCAGCAGCAGCCGGGGAGGAGGGAGCGTGTGGAGATAGCGTCTCGGCCAGCAGATCACTTATCTCCCCCCCCCCCCCCATTTCGTGGTTTTGTCCGCTGGATCGACACAGGTGGAGTGTCAACAACCCCCGGCTTGCTGTCCAGCTAGGGAATCTAAAATAAGGCCGGGAAGGGAAGTCTGTGTCGTTTTAAGCCGCCACTCTGGCAGAGTCAGAAATGGGAACGACGTATGAGGGGGCCCGTTTTTGGGTCACCGAGAAACGACGCTGCCAGACCTTTGCAAGATCTACTTCTCGGGATCTCTGAATTTCATCCGTCGGCGTTTCTCTTATTCCCGAGGTCCATCTCTGCGGTCCATTTGCAGAGGAAGCCTCCAAACATGGCCGCCTTAAGACTTGTGGACTTCAAACTCCCAGAATTCCCCAGCCAGCTCCTCCCCCTCCCGCTTCGCTGAGAATCAAGATATATTACGTCGACCACATACCCGCTATCAAGGAATTTATCCCATTTTTTTAAAAAATGCAATAAAGGTAGTTTAGCCACATTGGTTCTTATCCATGCTGAATTCTGGCTGGGGAATTCTGGGAGTTGAAGTCCAAAAGTTTTAAATTGGCTAAGTTTGGAGTCTTCCACGGCTTTTTTTCCACCCGACCTCAAAGGAAGAGGCTTTCTTAGTGTCACGTTACAGGATGCATTTGCAACCTTCTCCGTAAGCAACCTTTCCTGGCTTATTTCAAGCCCATCCTAAACATGGTTTGTTGTGTTTACTTCTGGATACACCCAGTTCTAGGAACGCCCGGCTTGGCTTTATACGTTTGCTCTTTTTTGCAGAGTTTATTATTTTTGTAAAAAGGTTATTTTCTAAATAAATGGCATCGTGAGCTGTTTTTAAGCAAAGAGTAGCCCACCTCCTCTTCTTCCTTGTCGCTGGCATTGCAGTTCTTTTTCATAACATGTTGACTTCTAACTCAGCGAGGGACCAAACGATGGGTTGAAAAACTGGCCTGTCAAAATTGGGGATTGTAGGGAAAATAGTTTTTACTCGCTTTATGTATTTATTATGAAACAGTTGCCATCTGTCCTGTGTTAAAACGACTCTAGGCTACAGCTTACAGCATAAAAACATTTTAAACAACATCAAAATTATCACTTATAAGATAACAAGCAAATAAGATTAAATCAATAACATACGACGACGAAGAAGGAAATCAGCGGTGGCGGCACGGGAGAAAGATGGGAATCAGTTAATTTCCTTTTAGTTAAATAGTTAATCTCTCTTACTGGCACAGTCCTGCTGAGCTTTAAATCCTTAAATGTGGGGAATTCAGATCCTTTAGAGACGTAAAGTTAAAAAGATCCCACGGCTTTTCAGAGTTTTGTACATACAGCTAGTCCTCAGGTTAATGGCCACCGTTGGGAGCAGAATTCCCGTTGCTATGCGAGGCACTTGCTGAGCGATTCGTGTGGGATTTTATGACCGTTTTTGTCCTGGCTGTTAAACAAATCCTTGCGGTCGTTAAGCAAATCTTGTCAACGTTAAGCAAATCCAGCTTCTCCAATCATTGACTTTGCCCGCCGGAGGTCGGTTAGGGTCACAGTGGCGATCACGTGATCCCCGGATGCTCTATACCAGTGCCAACCTCCCAAATTTTGATCATGGGACCGCGAGGATGTTGCGGCGGTCATAATTGAAAGAAACGGCCGTAAGTCACTTTTTTCAGAGCCACGGTATCATCACACAAGTCTCCAAACGAGCAGTTGTAGGTGGAGGACTGCTGCAGCTGGCAAGCATTTGCGGAACGCACGCTTCGTTATTTTCACAGTTGCAAAAACTGGACTGCCTGCTTTGCAGCATATCTAAAATTGCTTTGCACGACACCACCCTGGAGCAAGTTTGCACAACTTTTAACAAGGTGGGTGCATGAATCAAGTACACCTTTCCATTAGACCAGCACTAAACATTAAACGATCCTCTTTTAATGACCCCGTAATCCCTTGCGGGGTGGAGTCGGGGCAACTGAATGGAGTTAGCAGAGTGTTTTAATGGCCGGATGCCCTTCCTATTGCCAGCGTGGAGTTTTGTTCAGCGGATATATTCTCGTTGTGACCAGAGAGAGAAATAATCTGCCTCTACTTAGGATCAAATTCAACAGCCTCCTGATTGTGAGGCGAGAACACCTCTAGGCCACTGCACCACTGCCAAGCCCACATTAAACAAGGCTAGGCTTTATTCTGGTTAACTGGGTTTACGGCCCTTAAAACCTGCTCTCTCCCTAGGACGGACTCTCCATATCATGGAGAAATGACCCAATTTTTTGGGGGGGGGGGGGGGGGGGGGCTGAAAAATTGCTCCTGTGCAATTTTTCTCCTCCGTTTCTTTCATTTCCTAAAGTGAAATATTAAGAGGCACAGAATCTCGGTGATGAAAATAAAATGTGTTTTATTGTCCTTCCTTTTATCATCCTAACTGTCCCATGTGCAAAGGTTTAGACGACCTTTACCTGTTCCCTGCAACCTGCCCGTTTTCCGTGCATTTTGTCGCAGGGCTCCATTCCCACCAGTTTCGGCTGAAGAACCTGCTTGCCAGCCCCCGTCCTCCCCCCCGTACAACAGCGTGTTCAACCCAACAGGGGTCTGCCCCAAAATAGTCCCCCTGCCAGAAGTATTACATTTTTTTTTGCAAAGAAAGCTGTGTTAGGTGCAAAACAGAAACGCTCGGTTTGATTTTGAAATGGGCTGCCCCAGATCTGATTCCTGCAGAAGTCCCTTTTCCTGGCTCGGTTTGATCTACTTTTCGCGTTCTCTCCTGGTTATCTAGCAATCCTGCAAAAAGAAAAGAGAAAAGAGAAAGGGGGAAAAAAAGAAGGAAGGAAGGAAAGGGGAGGAAGGAAGGAAAGAAAAGGAAGAAAAGAGGAAGGAAAATAAAGGGGAAGAAAGGAAAGAAAAAGGGAGGGAGGAAGGAAGGAAGGAAAATGATGGAAGGAATAAAAAGGAAAGAAGAGAGGGAGGGAGGAAAATAATGGAAAGGAAGGAAGGAAGGAAAGGAGGAAAGGAAGAGGAAGGAAGGAAAAGAAGCTAGGAAAAGGAAGGGGAAAGAAGGAATGAAGAAAGGAAAAAAGGAAAGGAAAATGATGGAAGAGGAATAAAAGGAAAAGATGGAAAATAGGAAGGAAAAGAAGCTGGGGAAAGGATGAAGGAAGGGGAAAGAAGGAATGAAGAAAGGAAAAAAGGAAGGAAAGGAAAATGATGGAAGAGGAATAAAAGAAAAAAGGGAGAGAGGAAAAGATGGAAAGAAGGAAGGAAAAAAGGAAGCTGGGGGAAGGATGAAGGAAGGGGAAAGAAGGAATGAAAGGAAAGAAAAGAGGGAGGAAAGGAAGGAAAATGATGGAAGAAAAAGGAAGAAAGAAAAGGGGGGGGGGAAGTATTTTGGACTCACAGCGGGAGACTTCAATCCCTTCCAAGGCGTCTTGCAGCTTTCTCTTTCAAGCCACCTTCTTCTGTTTGTGGTCTCCTGATCTGCCCAACATCTAACCAGCATTTTCTCAAATGGGTTGTCTCTCAAATCTCCGGCCAAAGAGTTGGCTCTTAGCTCATGGCTCCCCTCCCCCCAGTTGCCTTTCCCTCTATTGGATCTCTTCATCTTTTTCCTTCTCCCTCCCGTCCTTCATTTTTTGCACTCTCTCTCCATCCCTTTCTCTGCAATCAAACAATAGACACAAACTCCAGGTTAACCGCACCAAACTCGATTGCAGGAAATACCACTTCAGCAATAACAGAGGGGTCAATGTCTGGAATCCTCTACCTGACTCTGTGGTTTTTTTTTATCCCCAAACCCCAAAAACTTTAACCTTAGACTGTCTACTATGGACCTCACCCCTTTCCCAAGAGGTCTGTAGGGGCCGTGCATAAGCGCACCAACGTGCCTACCGTCCCTGTCCTATTGTTTCTTTTATTTTTCTTATATGTACCCATTTCATGTATTCATAACTATGTATATACTTATACCTATTACCTTGTAAGCGATTGACATATCAAAATAAATAAATAAAATAAAAATAAAAATCTCACCACCTTGCAAAGGGTCGACCATTTCCAGCAGCGCCAACCTCTACTCTTTTGTCTCCCTGCTTCATCTAGACTGGCCCTCGCTCCGTCACCCTGGCCGTGAGGTCACCTGCCTCTCTCCTGCCCACCCACCCCCACCCGCTGCAGTCCGGCCTACCTCCCCCCTCCTCCTCCGAGAACCTAATCTGATTAGCTATTAAGAGACCGTTGAACGTGGATTATGGGTTTAAAAAAAAATCGCTCCCCTCCTCCATAAACACCAGTTGAGAAGCTTGTAAGCACCCAAGTCTTCTGGTCAACTTTCTCTCCTTGGATCCAAAAGAAGACCAGCTCCCATGGGCCACCACTGACCCATGTCCTGGACCACCCCCCAAGAAAGGAGGACGAAGGCCAGAAATGATCGGCAAACCCCGCTTTCTCCAAGCCAAATTCCCCCTAACTGGGGATGAAGGCCAGAACTTATTTTTGGTTTTGTTTTACCCCTTGGAATTTCTTTCTTCTTTCCTTACCATAATCCTAACTTGGTTTCCTAAGAATTCTCTTGGATTTTAGCAAATGGATTGATTTTATATATACATACATATATATATATATATTTTTCCGGGGGCTTGGCATTTTTCGGAATCGTTCAGATTTGGTAAGAGAATTTGTGATGTGTTAACAAGCCTGATCGTCTTCCTCTGGGTTAAGGATCGGGATGGATCTGGGAACTAGGAATGGTGATTATATGCCAGCAAAAAAGAAAAAAAGAAAAAAAGAAAAAAAGGGAGGGTAGAGGGGAAACTTGGTTTGTTTTCACCTTCTTGCATAACCTCTGGACAGAAGGAGGCTAAAATGGACAGTGAAGGTCTTTATTGTATATTTCTCCAAGGTTTGATCTGTGTTTGGTCCATTTTCTTGTAAATTCAGGTATCTGGGTGAAGTTCTTTGTTGCAAAAAAATAATAATAATCTCTGTGTGTCTGTTGGGAAATGAGTTTGGGCGGAGGGGATGATGGAACCAGAAGGGGAAGCGATGGAGAAATGTGACTTTTAAAAAGGGAGAATATTTGTGGATTTGAGGGCCTATTAACGATAGTAAACCAGGAATGTTGTCCATAACAGAATGAAAAAAGGATGTTGTAGCATGACCTGGTTTTGCTAGGAGGATGAGGAATATGGTGAGTTCTCTCCAGATCAAAGGTTGCAGATATTTTGATGTTCTTCAGAACCCGGAGACAAAATAATGAGGTCATTTCTCCCTTTTCTGCAAGAAGCTTTTGGGCTAAAAATGGTTACCCTTCAAACTATAAATAGCAAAGTTCCCTTAACAATTAAGGGAGGATAGAAGAGAAACATTGAAGCATGGGGTTGAACTGTGGTGTCTTTAATGCTCTCTGAACTTGGCGATTTTCTTGCAGATGTTTCATGACCCAGCTAGGTAACATCAGCAGTGCTAGAAGGGGGGAGGAGGAGGAGGAGGAGGAGGAGGAGGAGGAGGAGGAGGAGGAGGAGGAGGAGGAGGAAGACTATAGGGTCCTTGGTGCTCTCTAAGCTTGGCAATTTTCCTTCAGACATTTCATGACCCAACTAGGTAACATCATCAGTGCTAGAAGGGAGGAGGAGGAAAAGGAGGAGGAGCAGGAGGAGCAGGAGGAGGAGGAAGAAGAGGAGGAAAAACTGTAGGGTCTTTTGGGCTCTCTGAGCTTGGCGGTTTTCTTTCAGACGTTTCATGACCCAACTAGGTAACATCATCAGTGCTATATCAAGGACCATCACACTGATGATGTCACCTGCTTCGGTAATGAAATGTCTGCAAGAAACCAAGAACCCCACAATTATGGGAGGCAACGCCCCAAACATCTAGAACGAGGCATTCGGGGGGGAAAAAAATCCTCTACTCCAACTTACGTTGACCTAACAGGAGCTAGCAAATTGTTCCTTTTCAAGTAGGGGCCAAGAGATAGCACTTCGTGGAATTTTGGCTCTTATATACCTATATTTCTTGGTCTGTTTTAAGTTTTGCAACTCTTCAATCAACCAACCCTTCCTTCTCCAGGTCTTCTTCTTTCTTGTTCTTTCCATGCTTGTGCCCCTGAGAGGCCTGTTCAGCCTTACACCTGACTTGGGGGTTGTGAGTAGAGGTGTTGGTGAATAAATGTGATTTGCACCACGGAGACCTCAGACCTTCAGGTATTGTGTCAGTCTCCTCTGGTTTACAAATCTACCCTCCCCCCTTTCTGTAGAGGTTAATCTTACCCCTTGACCTGTTCACACATTAGGTTACATCATGCCTTTTAATCTTAGCTGGTTGATTAACCCGTGGCATCTCACCACACCCGAGCAAACCACGTCTTAGCAAACGGTGGGAAACAACCCAAAAACACCTTCTATTTTACTTCTTTTTATTCATCTCCGAGAACAACTGGCATCTTCTCAAGTGCCCATTGGGTGGGATGAGATCTAGAAGACCCCCCGAAAGAGGTAAAATATCTTGGAGGCCTGCAGTGAGCCATGGTTTTATTAAATGGGACATGTGTCGGAATTCTTACAAGAATCAGAGAAACTGGGACGCTATTTTACTTCCAGCAGTTTGTGAATATGTTTGTGGAAAACAGCTGATTTATCAAGAAACTGATCTTAGCAGCCGATTTATCAAGAAATGATGATCTTACAAGGCACTCTGTATCATCCTTGTTCCTATTACATTTAGAACATGCATGTGGTTTTCGTGACAAAAGTGTAGAAATTATTTGCCAGGACAACCTGTTTGGGGATTTTGTTCGACAGTCCAGTTTACGTCTCTTGTGATTCTCTGGTGGGGCTTCCTTGCCCGTTGATAACGTTCACCAGGTCTTTTATTTTGCTTAGGTTCCCAACTATGAGAACAATCCACCTCACCCTTCCACGTGTCTTCTGTGCCTCTGGGACAGGAAGTCAGCTGGAGAAAGCATCGGGGCAGTTTACGCAACTGTCCAGAGTTACACAACAAGCAATTGGCACAGTTTACAGGTTGTTTTGATCCAATTTGTATTCCCTTGCGGCCGTGTTTTTCAACCTTGGGGACTTTAAGATGGCTGGATTTCCAACTCCCAGAATCGCCTCACCGATACCCATTGCCAGTCCTTTTTTATTTTATTTTTTTGTGCACACACACACACACACACACACTTTGAATTGTCAGGGCCTATCATTTACAGAAAAGCAAAGACAGAACAAAAAAGGAATATAAACGTATATATTAATAGTGTACACTAGTAATAGTGTAACAGCATAGTTTTAACTAGGTTTCTCTTTCTATTAGCTTATTTGTAGTTCTGTTCGTTGTATTGGCATATTTATTACTATAAACTATCTTTACTTCATACCTAGCAATAATCCTTCTTCATCTAATTTCTACCTCTTATCTCTAACCACTTGTAAAATCTGTTCCCTGTTAAGTAGTATTCTGTATCTTCTTTGTCCTTTATTTTTAATGTCAATCTATCCATCTCTGCACAGTCCAATATTTTCCAAATTACGTCCTCATCTGATGGAGTGTTTTCATTTTTCCAATATTGTGCAAATACAATCCTAGCTGCTGTCAATACATGCAAAATGATAGATAGATAGATATAAAACTGGACCCATTGCTAGTCCCCTAGAGCAGCGTCTCTCAAGCCGTCTGGGGGAATTCTGGGAGTTGAAGTCCACCCATCTTCAAATCCCCAAGATCGAAAAAAAAAAAAAAACTGCTCTACAGGATTGGCAATGGGTAGCGGTGGATTCAACAGCTATTGGGACTTGGCCAACTCAAGTTGGACTTGGGTGTCAAGTCAAGCCCAAGATTGAGATCTTGGTGGGGTGGGGTGGGGGAAGATGCTGAAAAATAAATAATGATGAATCACTTTCCAGGATGAAGCTGTGCGACTGCGTCTCCAAGGTCAGTAGGAGTTGAGCTTGAAAGTTATAGCAGATGTACTCAGATGACTTCAGCTGACCGGAGTTAAGTAGGGTCAGAAGATTGCCTGGCTAGAGTGGCTGGCTTATTAAAAAAACACACAAGCATTGGAGAAGAGGAACCTGTTGCCAAGAACGCAGCTTGATCGCAGCTCAGTTTAAAAAAAATATATTTTTTTCTTATAAACTGGAATGCTCTGCAGGAGCTGGAGGAGTTTTGTTCTCTTGTGAGTTTGTGCTTGATAACTGTTGAATACTCAAGGTTGCCATCATGTTCTCTTCCTCCCCCTCACCAAAATGTAGGAATGGTCCTGGGGTCGATGTAGAATAGAATAGAGTAGAATAGAGTAGACGAGGAAGGAGAAGGAGAAGAGAAGTGAATAATAAAATACAGAATTGGAGTGGAATAGAATAGAGTAGAATAGAAAGGAGAAGGAGAAGAGAAGTGAATAATAAAATACAGAATTGGAGTAGAGTAAAAGAAGGAGAAGGACAAGGAGAAGAGAATAATAAAACACAGAATTGGAGAGGAGTAGAGTAGAACAGGAAGGAGAAGGAGAAGAGAAGTGAATAACAAAATACAGAATTGGAATGGAATGGAATAGAATAAAATATTGTTATTGTCCAGGTGTGATTGGATACACAAGGAATTCGTATTCTGAATCTT